ACTACAGAAAATGGGCTTAAAGTGTAAAAAACCGAACTTCTCCTTTAACATTGTTTGAAAAAAGGTGAAAAATAAACAAACATATAAATACATCTCTAGCCACTGTGTGCTCTCTGCAAGATCACGTGATCAACCTTGCAATCATACTGGATCGGAATGCTGGATCGGCATCAATAACCCGATCCAGCTAAATAGTCATGGAATTTCCCCATTGTGGTATAATAAAGGGATTTACATTTATAAGTTTAAACTAAGTGCTGAAATGCATGGAGGAGGGGTTGGACATGACATTGTTGTTGCTGCAGGGAGGGGCTGTCCAGTTGATTTGGAAGTTGATTTTCCAGAAATTGGTAGATGTGCGCACAAAAATACGCTGTTGTCCAGTCTAAGGAGAAGAATGGTTTGATTTGAGAAGATAATAAAGCAACTGAAGCAAACGTGTAATGCTATAATGTCCAAATGGAAAGAAAATCTCTAAAAAGAGGAAATGTTTGTGTAAAATTTGAGTCACCTGGGTCACAACAAAACAGATTTTAATCAGAGGCAACTGGACTTTTGTACACTCATCATGATTCAAATAGCAAAACACAAAAAACACACAGCAAAAGACTCCACAGCCCAGGCGGGGAATGGATTGATCATTGATTTGCATCTGGGAAAAAAAACAACTAACAGCATCATGAGAAGAAATCAGCACAGACATTGCAGGGATAGAAATGCTTCTCATTTCAAAGCAAGGTTCTGGTGTAAAACAATGCTGCTGCATCCAACATTCAATAATAAAAAGATTTGAACACTATCAAAACCCTATAGTTAGGTAGGAGCATCTGATAACATGACAACCATTGTGTCCTACTACAGAAATATGGCCTGTACTGCAAAAAACCAAGAAGCGCAAAAACATAAAAAAAATAAAGTTAATGTGCTGGATCCAGCAAACATGGAAAATGATTCCTCTGATCAAATTACAGATGTTTAGCACATCTCAAAGCTTATCAAAACCTCATAAAGAGAAGGGATATGGACATTGCTATTTTCAGTTACAAAGAGTGGCGACACCTCATTAGATTTGGGAAATTCACAGTGAAACTCCCAAGTCTTTTCTTTGCATACCAGAAAATTAACAGACTAGAAAATACATTTAATTGCAACAGATTCTAAACAACTTGAGCAAATATCTCCAGCTCTCACTTCTCCCCATTGGTTTTCTGTTTATTTTAGGACTATTACATTTTTGGTTTTTCTTGTGATACTGGTATTGAACTACGGAGAAAAATGCCAAAAAATAAAATAATTTTTTATTATTTGTGAAATAATTAAAATGATCATTCAAAATATTATTTATAGTGCAGTAAAAGCTATATTGGAAGATTTTTGTGATTTTTTAAAAAGAACTGCCCTCTCCACTTAAAAAAAAAAAAAAGATTTGATAGGCATTCCAAAGAGGAATGCCTATCAAATCCCATTTCTCCTCGTGCACGCTCTGTTTACAAGCTGCTGTTTGCATCGCTCATACAAGCTTACTTACCAAAAGAAGATTTGCAATTTTTCCACAATGCCAGACTCTCCACCGGTAAGTGAAAATGGGGGCGAGCACGTAGGACGGTCTTACATAAACATGTTAACAGAATGATTAGGAGGACCACTATAGCTTTAAAAGTACAGTATAGAGGATGATTTTTTTATATCCAGGTGGATCATCTAAATAAGTGGTCCTACTAATTGTCAATTGTCCTACGTGCTCATCCCGTAAGCTATCTTTTCCTGCGCAGGTACACTTTAAGGCATATATCTATGGTGAGCTACGGCTTCAGACAGTCACTGAAGCTCACCTTTCTCACCACGGTTCTTTGAAAATGGCCGAGGGTCATAAGAGAAAAAGTGTCTACGAAGTTTATGAGAAGAAAAGAAAGGCCTCGGAAGAGACAAATAATTACCAGAATGCGTTGCGCGGAGAGCTCTCCTCTCACAGAGCTCTCTGCGAAAAGCATTATGGTATTTGCTGTCACAATGGCATGCTGTTGCCATAGGCTGTTGTTACCAGAAAGCGGCAACTAATAACAAAGATGGCGCAGGCACGCACGGTGGCCCACCGGGGAAGTGATCATCTGTCCGAACGGTAAGTTGACTGAGTTCACAAAATAGTCCCCGCTCTATATAGTGAGTGAGGGATTTAGAGGTTAGGATGGACGTTTGGACACAGTAAGATTGTATGAGCTATGAGAACAGCAACTTTGAAAGACGGCGTGCATGAGGAGAAATGGGCTTGTGCATGCTCTCGCACGTGCATTATTTTTTTTTTTTTAATGGAGAGGCGGGTCTTCGAGAAAATCCTCAACAATTCCCTTAAGTGGGCATAAGTGTCTTAATGAGCTTACAAACATTTTTGTAGCTACAAACAAAAATTCTAAAAATAACAAAATTTAAAGTAATAATAAAAAAAGTATTATAAAGCATCTTTGTCTGCTAATTGATCCCCCATTCTCTTTATATCCCTCTCAGATTAGAAGCCGTCATCAGATTTACAGCAGATTATGCTCTAAACAGCTTGATTACCTTTTGCAGTTTCTTTCAACTGCCAATTGTTCTATTTTTTACTTGATATAAGCATACCACAATATTTAAGCTAAAATATAACTTTTGTTTCATTGCATAAAGATAGTCTGCTCTTCCATTTAATTAATTTGTGATGGCATATTTTGGCCTTTTTTCTCTATTAATGTTAATCTGCTATTGCTATTACAGATGGTACAAATGTTTAAATGTGCAAAGACTCTTTCTCTATTGTCTGATATTGAATCAATGCTTTCTTTGTGGCCACAATGACTGCAGAAATTTCAATCTGAAAAACTCACAGAGAGAGAAAGATGCAATTTTATTGATACAATAGTTTGAACTTTGGCGCTCAGGCTTCGGCAGGAAAAATAAACGCTGATTTATACTTTAATGCAGATAAACTGATGTATGAGAATATGGATATTTCCCCCGGGCCTGAAACTGGTGGTGGAGTTTAGATAGATGAAGTTTGCTTATTTCCATAGAGGCTGGTATACAGGGTGATGCTTGAGTTAGATGTCACTTGAATAAACAAAGTTTGCATAAACTGTCCATGAACTGTCCATGAAGAGCAAGCATGAAGCGACTGTGGAGAGAAAAAACTCCCCTTTGGGAAGAAACCTCTGGCAGAACCAGGCTCAACATGGCGGTCTTCTGCCGGACCGTTTTAAAGTGACAGGGAACTCCATGAAAGTCTGGAGGGACTACACACTGGAAGGTGAGGTTGAAGGAGCATCGAGGAGAAGTCGGATGAGCTTACTACAATGGTGGAGAAGGGGATGGAGGTGGGTTGTCTGAATCAAAGTCCGATATACTGTAGGAGCGACGGTTCTTGCGCTTGCTGATGAGCAGGCCGAGAGATGATTTGGAGTTGCTTTTAAGGTGAATGCTGGATGATGATTGGGCATCGAGGAGATGTAGCTTGAAGCGGATTGGCTGCATCGGAGGCGGATCAGCCTCAGATTGAATGGAAGTAATCAGAGTTTCTTCAGTTGAAGTTCCGCCTTAGCTTCATGTTTGAGTGTGAGTTATTATCTAATCTTCAAACATGTCAAAATATATAATACCTTTTAAGACAATTTCCAGATCTAGTGAACATGTTTTCAAATAACCTAACGCTTTTGCCTACCGACGATTTTGCTTACATTTTCTTATCATTTGCTGCAGAAAAGATCAGTGTGTATAATACCTGATGGAACTGCATCCAGTCCTTGTGATTGTAAGTAAACGTCCCTCCCAGCTCAGCTGTTAGCTGTGGAGCTTCCACTGTCTTGTTGAGGGCTCTTATCGATGAAACAATATCCATCTATTAAAGAGATCACAAACACTGTTAGGAAGCAGTTCCTTTCTTCCTTTGACTAAAACTCAAAAGAAGCACTGATGTATCTAGAAGCTGATTTGGGTTCTGACCTGCAGACCCGGCTGCTTCTCTGGCCGCGGACAACTATCCTTGTCGATCAATATGATAATGCAGTGGACAGCGTGGAGAGCTTGCTCCTGTTAAAAGTCACACACAACATATAAGGAGAATTTTAATTTGTATTTAGAGAGCCTAAGTGTAGAAGAAATTTCCTTATCCTCATCTTTACACTAAAGCAGAGTGGACATTTTTTATAGACCATCCAAACTGGAATCGTATGACTTTAACTATTGAATTCTAAACTTCCAGGGAAGTCAAGAAGGAGCAAAGGTCTTCCCAGAATTTTTACTAATGCGACTGTGAAACAATGTTCATGCAGGTTTCAAGTTTTAACCTGTGCCATTAGTAGTGCCTTGTAGAGGTGAAGCGGAGGAAGCTTCTTCCTGCCATTAATCACCAGAGTCATTCCAAGCTCTCGGACGTCTTTCCTGCAAAGACAGTGGATTATCAAAGGTTGCTCTCCTTCCTTTTTTTTGTGATAACCACCATAATCAAATTTCAGACTGGATCTAATTTGCATTTCTTTTTTTATTATTATTTATCCCAGACATCAGGATATTGTTTCTCGTTTCAGATTATTGCATTTTACAATAATAACTGGGTTGAAATTCCTTGCTACAAGCCAGTTGCTCTGCTGTCTGATTATATCATGCCTATTTGAGTGTATATGGCTTTCCAAACTGTAAAGGAGGAAGTCTAAAAACTTTATTTATGAGTATTATGTGCTTACAATTAAATGATATAGCATCATAACATGTTACAGGACAAATTATCAATGCTTCATAGTGGAATCTCATAGGCATGCTAATGTTAGCAGTAACTCTAAATCCTGTTCCCCAGGACCCAGTACCCTCCATGGTAAGCATTTCCCTGCTGCAACATGCCTTAAAGAGAATAGTGAACAAACATGCTTGTGTAGCACTCAATTGCATGCTGAGAAATCAAAATATTTCACTGAATAAGGTGGGGCAAAGACACATCTAAAGTATGCATGACTGGCTGAGGAACTAAGACTGCACAGTTAATGAAACAGCTGATGCTCAGTCAGATACAGAGGGATACAGAGATAAATTTTAGCACTCTGAAATCAGTCAACTTTTTTAAACTGTATTTTAAATACCATGTATCATTATCATCATTATCTAAAATATCTATAGGCATTTTTTTTTATTGGACTGAGATCAGGATACTGTTAGCCTTTGCAAAACATTAACTGTTTTAATGACCTCCTGATCTGCAGAGACTCTGGTTGAAACATCTTATCTGTTACTTATCCTGAAATTTCTTACCATTCATTAATTTAAGCCCATATGCTCTCTACTGATTACATTCATTTTAATGTGGTATCAAAAGAAGTCGCTAGTCTTTATCCAAGCTTTATATGCATTCACACAGCATTCCTAAACTTCCTCTCAATCAGGCAAACTATTGTGAGAGAGCCTACACCAGACGAGGTTGCTAATTCTGGCAGGACACTGCATACCAGTCTGCTGGCAGCATGCCTGGCTGAAGCAGACTGCTATGATTTGTCTTTTTACTGGAGACACTGGAAGGTGGGGAAAAAAGGGAGAACGAGCTTTTCAAACCTTTAAACTTTACAATAAAGTCAATGTTAACAAGTAATGTTGTTAAAAAGTTTACAAGCAGACATTTGAACCCAAGTATTCCCTGTTCTATGAACATTCTGGACAATTTAGTCATTATTTGATGCTCTCACGGGGTACATAGGAAATAATAAACGTTTAATTAGTTTATGGAATAGAAAGATTTATACACATTTGTGACCAACAGCTGAGGACCCAGTGTAGCTATAAAACTTTGCCTTTCCTTTGTTTAGCCAAGCTGAATATATTTCTAATTATAATCTGCTGCCCTCTTGTGGTCAAATGTGTCATTGCATGCTGGCGTAAGGTAATAAATATTCTCTGTTGAAAAATAGAGGTCACTAAACTGTCATTTGTATTTTTATGTCATTGACAGAATAATTACTTCATAATGAATTCCAAGACAACTTTAAATCCTTTATAAAAGCAGAAAGGAGTATAAACCAGTGCAAAATCTACCCTCTCTTCTTTTCCAGCTTCCAATCAGCTACAGAGTGTTTAAGTATATTAATATGTAACGTTTTTATCAGCGAAAACCAACAAAGCTTTGTCTGATGTACCTCGGTATGGAGTGTAAGTAGAGCAGCAATTCACAAATGCTCTCTGCAGACACAAGAGGGGTCATCCACTCCTTCCTGTCGCCATGGACCTCGACCACCGCCCTGCCGTTCCTGTCCCTGCTGCCTACAAATGTAGAATAAAAAATAAAAAAACAGATTTTTTTTTTTTTTTTGTTTTGTCAATGTGCTGACATTTTTGTTAAATTCACAATTAAACAGTTCTTATTTAAATTGCTGGATTCCTCAGTTTGCATTGAATATTTAATGGCCCTAATGATGATTAGTGAATAAGGATACCCTTAATGACTGTACTGAAAATCTGTTGAATTTTAAAACAACCAATCTTTTTCTTTTTTTCATCAAAAAATTGTTTTAGTTTTTTGTAATAATTTCAAAAAGGCACATACTGTCCAACTTAAGAGAGAAGACATTTAATTGCAATCTTTTGGTACTAGACCTTCATCAGGCAACTTGTTCCGAAAATGTTGCAATTAAATGTCTTCTGGTGACAGCGTGTGGGAGTCCCCTTTTAAAATGTGATACATTTTTCTCCTATGTTAATGATGTGTGAAGTGCTTTATTAAGTTTTTTTTTTTTTACCATAGAAATTATGTTTTAATTTCTAACATGTCTTAGAAGATCAACATACCTGGTAAACAAATAATGCCCATTTCCAGGAGACTGCTGATCTTCCTGAATGTTTCTTCTGTTTGTAAGCCCTGCTGACAGTCAAGACTTGTTGCAGAAGATTGTTTTTCCACCTTTCCACTGAGAATTTTTGAGCCCAGGCCATTTAAGCTAAATGGAAGCTCCACTCGGCTTGAATCTGAATCTGATGAAAACAGAAATGAGAAACACAATGATTGCTGTATTTGGTTGGTTTATAGAATGAACACAACTTTTTTCTTCTTTTTTTTTTTACCACAGCCTGTTGTCTTTTTGATAAGGCTGAGTTTAGGGTCATAGATACTTAATGTTGACACATTTTAATCCAATGTAAACCTAGCATTTATTTCTATTTGGCATCATTGTGGTGTAGGGCAGTGGTTCCACACCTTTTTTCACTTGTGTTCCACTTTGGGCATTTTGTCTTACCATGAGTCCCCCTCTCAGTCAAAAGTATTGATGATTGTCCAAAAGTGGAACATACAATAACAGATATAAAGACTAAAATAAACACTATTTCGAGGAGCAGAATGGAGAGATACAGAAGATCGTTTAGGCTGGCCACCATTGAACAGTTTAATGCTCTTGAAGGAGTCTTTTTTTATATCATTATTTCTTAATCAAATTTAGTGTTTTTTTTAATCCTATTTTATGTTTTTATCTTTGCTATCAGGCAGGGGAATTTCTATCTATCTATCTATCTATCTATCTATCTATCTATCTATCTATCTATCT